AGCTTGCATTTTAATTTGGCCCTGAAGTTACTTATTTAATTATCGATCATCCGTAATGCTGAATCAATGTTCATCTTGTTACGTGGCCCATACCCGTGTAATACAGTGATAGTGGGGGCCCAGACTTACTCATTCCCTTTACAAAGTGACTTTACCGTAAAATCAATGCCTTGTGTTACTGATACAGGGGAAACTGAAGCAGATGGAGCGAAAGAGAGTGGAGCCGAGAGGAAACAAATTTGAAAAAGGTACAACTCACCTTGAGTCCACGYGTTGTAAGTTATTGTGAAAATCATGTTATGGTGCCGTAGTTTAAGCCTGAAGTCATTACTAAGGTGCAATGCAGGAGTTCTAATATGACTCATATGTAATGTGATAACATATCCATTTAGGTGATAACACTTTAATGTGATATAGAGCTTCATCTGTTCTGCAGACTTGGATTAGTTTTAAGTAATCCTGTTCCCATAACTCAAGTAATGTTGGTCAGGTTCCATCCGGATTTCAAACCGGGAATGTGTTTATCCACTAAATTCTGAATATTACAATAAAATATATAAGTTAAAAAATATTTCAGTTTAAAACAAAATAATAGATGTGTGTGGAGGGAGTCAGGGCTGCAATATTTTTAACCTGTTCAGTAAATTTTAACAAAAAAATAAATAAAGGAAATGGAACAGGAAGTTGTGTCCTCTAGAAATGTATTCCATATTCATTTCTCTGTGCAAACTAAAACGGTGACAGATAAATTAGGTTTAGTTACAAACTATACTTTGAATCATTAAATAAAGAAGTTGTGATAATAAATGTTGCTGATTTTAAAATGGAAATCACTCAGGATGTGATGGTTCAAACTTACTATATTCTTGTTTTTTTCCACCCAATTGTCAGCATCCGTACAATATTTAAATTAAAATGCAAAATGTACAAAATGTATTATCTGCCCAGCTGCTTGGCCAAAGCTCTGCTCCAGACCTGAATCTAAAGTGGATCTGAACCCACAGCTTTAAATGTTTTAAATTTAGTAGTTGCCCGAGCTTTAAAGTTAACACGTTAATGTGGAACATTTGCAAGGTAACGCATTAATTCTCACTTTGATCGCCTGTCATAACCCAGTTTAATAAGTTGCAGTCCATTGACTATTAATTTGTTTCCAAACGGTGTGAGCAGGAGGAAGGCTTCCAAAATGCTTTACTTTGCCACTAATGCAAATCAAACTTGGGCTATCTATTTAATATGCATGATTGGTTGGTGTAAGGTAATTAAAATCCTTCTATTTAAATTACGCTAACAGAGGGGGAAAAATTAAACTTTAAATGTATTTCCAAAGTACACTTGCTTCTGCTGCTAAGAACAATTAATTTTTAGAAACTAATTCATTTATTGGATTAAGCTTCACTGTTCTTTAAACATTGCAAGATTTATTGGCCCTTTATTTCACCCCTAATGGGACATGAGTTGGAGGGAGCATACGTGGAGATTGGATGTTCCTTTTTTTTTTAAGGTTAGCAACAGATTTAAGTTTGAACCCGTTGAGGAACATTTCTTCTCGCTGTAGTCCCGCAGAATAATTGGTTTGGAATGAGATGGGTTAGTCACTTTTTTTTTTTCAGGAATCCCTCTGAAACTTTTTCTTTTGCAGCTTTGGGTTTATTTTATTCTTTGCTTTTGTTGTTTTCAGCACTCTGTCAGATGTCATATTTGGCCTCAGCTTTAGACCTTAATTACAGATTTATTGTTTTAAGAGTCAAAGAAGAAGAAGAAGAGGGATTTGGTTTCTCAAGGAAGTGATGAAAACTWAAAGTAAAAGTGATCTCACTTCCAAACACACACCTACAGGGCTCAAACAAGCTTCTGAGGCTCGTTAATTGCATTTTCWGTTAAATGCTCATTCATCACCATAATTACCAACACTGATCAACAAGAGCTCTCTTAAAATTGATTCTGTGTGCGATAAGACTTGTGTTGTCCTCTCTCTCTCTCTCTCTGTGTGTGT